TGAGGGAGCCTTACTGCCCACTCTCCTCTGCAGTCTGCAACGCTACTATCCCAACATTACCATTATTTGAGATGGACGAATCTGCATGTTCGCCGTTCTGTTACGTTTTACATTATCTTTTGTTTATAAAGTTTATATCGGCTTTTTGTGACTGGACAGTTGCTGTAGCACAGTACAGTAAATTTGCTTGTTAAAGTACAGTATATTTGAAAATATGGCTGTGTAACAACTTCGACATGTTCACATATTATTTAACCATGATATTTAACTAAATCGGAGTATTTTCTCGTGTGCTCACAAATCAATTAAATCGTTTCATGAAATCGACACGCACTAACAGTAGAAGTTCCGCTAATCGCTATTTGAAAAGCACAAAATGTATGGTCAAGCAGATTTTTTTAGGGTGGTGCTGGACTTCTCTAGGCGGGATCTATACACCGTTAGGGGGGGGGGGGGGGGGGGTGTGCGTAGCCCCTGTAACCTGTGTAACATCTGTCACTCGGGAGAAGTCGAAAATGAATCCCACTTCCTTCTCTCTTGCGAGGCTTACAGTTACATTCGAGTAAACTTTATAACTGAACAGTCTAAAAAACGATCTCACTACTACTGAGACAAATGTAAACGAACCAACTTTATCAGTTGACATAACGAAGGCAACTGATAGCGACACCATCCTGAAATTATCGAAATTTATTTTCTCTAGTATTCCAAAGGTCGTAGGTTCGATTCCCACCGTGGCCAGGCATATATTTTTCAAGCTTGCCCGGTGTGGATATACACTCAGAGTAACATGACAAACATCTTTATTTTCTCGTGTCTTGAGGAAAGACTTAAATAAGCAACTTGAAGCCGGGAATGCTGGTAGTCATTAGTTAAACTCTTCATCCTGTAAATAGTATCTTCTTATATCTACTTCTTAAATGAATTAAATTTCTGTGTTGGTGTAATGTACTCAGGTGAATATGATATTTGTGATGTTACTCTGAGTGTATATTCACACCATGCAAGCTTGAAACATATGCCTGACCACGGTGGGAATCGAACCTACGACCTTTGGAATACTAGTCCAATGCTCTGCCAACTGAGCTACGTGGTCAGGTCGGTTCAAGTAAGTGATATTTCGGAACAGAATCTAGTTCTACTTCTTAAATATTTTATATGTTACATTGTTACGTTATAGTTAGGCTTTAGCAATCCACCTTATCACAACCCGCTCACGCGATTACATATATATATATATATATATAATATATATATATATATATATATATATATATATATATATATATATATATATAATTCCTACCAGAGGACCTTGTGCTGCATTTTTCGCAGTCGTTCCTGCATGGGTAGGTCTTAAAATGTATATATACTCACTTGGATTACAAACCCCAACATTCGAATACTCATGCTAATAAAGCGATTATCACCAATTACGTGCAACGACCGTTCATCCATATGTCTTGGGAAAAAGAAGGGAGCAAGAGTCGCCATGTTGATTTCCAGTGTGTCAAAACCAAAGTGGGTACTCATGTGATCGGAGCAGTAGACGAACCGGCTGCCCTTGCTGCCGTCTCTGGCAGTGATAGTGTACCGCCACCTCCACAAGTTCTGCTGGGATCTGAACCTGAAGACTGAACGGCCCCCGAGGTACCGCTGGGCTTCGCAGAATAACTGGATGAATGTAGGTATATAGATCACCTAAGTCGACTCGCATTTTTTAGATGCGCGATTAAGCTCATTTTCTCACAGCTTGTCAACGAGATGTGTTCGTTTGTTCCCAGCTGTTCACAAGTTTGGAACAAGTTGGTATCAACTTGTAACAAGGTTGATGAGGCCAACAGACTCGCAATTACATAAGTAAAAATACACAAGTTGTTACAGGTCTGCGCGAACAAGTCGTTACAAATCTGCTCACAAGCTGTCGACAAGTTGTGTTCGCACTGCTTGTTCCCAGTTGTTGTAACAAGTTTGGAACAAGGTGTTAACAACTTGTAACAAGCTTGATGGCATTATCAGATTTGGTACAAGGTTGTTCTAACAAGTCTGATACAGTCATGATATAACAAGAATGTTACAAGGTTGTTCTAACAAGTCTGATACAGTCATGATATAACAAGAATGTTACAAGGTTGTTCTAACAAGTCTGATACAGTCATGATATAACAAGAACGTTACAAGGTTGTTCTAACAAGTCTGATACAGTCATGATATAACAAGAATGTTACAAGGTTGTTCTAACAAGTCTGATACAGTCATGATATAACAAGAATGTTACAAGGTTGCTCTAACAAGTCTGATACAGTCATGATATAACAAGAATGTTACAAGGTTGTTCTAACAAGTCTGATACAGTCATGATATAACAAGAATGTTACAAGGTTGTTCTAACAAGTCTGATACAGTCATGATATAACAAGAATGTTACAAGGTTGTTCTAACAAGTCTCATACAGTCATGATATAACAAGAATGTTACAAGATTGTTCTAACAAGTCTGATACAGTCTGATATAACAAGAATGTTACAAGGTTGTTCTAACAAGTCTGATACAGTCTGATATAACAAGAATGTTACAAGGTTGTTCTAACAAGGTTGTTCTTGGAAATTGCTATTGGTGGATTTGGCAAAAATACAATATAAAAGCGTGACGGTGAATTAGGACCAGATTTATGAACAAACGTTAAGGCCCTGTCACACTATTGCGTATGAGAGAAACGTATGAGAAGCGTATGAAAATTAATGAAATAATTTTCATACGCACAAAAATCCTTTGAAATGCCAGCGTATGAGTACCGTACATCTGACGTACCTCTAGCGTATTCAGCGTGTGCCTAGAGTATGCTTATCGTTTAAAGCATACGTCCGATACGCACAAAATTTTTGAGCATGCTTAAAAAAAAGAGAGTCACACTGTTATTCTAATGAGTTTCACAGCCATCTTCCCTTCGATAGGCTATGGTTTCACTTAGGTCGGACAGAATGACCAGTGGTTTCCTTTCTACGTCGGACAATTTCACGAGTGGGTCGGACAATGTTCGTGAAACATTAAGTGTTTCAACAAAGGACACAGAATATAAATAATTTATTTCTTGATATACTATTGCTACTACAGTGTGCTTTTCAAACACAGATATGGAATTTGAAATTTTAGTTTGGGGCTACAGAAAAATTAAGCTATAAAAGTCTGAAATTCCTAACTGTATTTGATATTAAAGAAAAGCACGTTAAAAGAACCATTTCCCCACTTTTATAATCAAAATTTTGAACTCAACAAGTCTAGACAAAAATTTGATCACAGCTTGAAAGAGCATCACAAAATTAGTAATATTCCAAAGTTTCGTTGGAAAATGGAGTAAAATGCGGATATAGCCTAGCCTTGCGAAGTTTGCAATTTTCAGTCATTTTAGATTACAAACGGGAAATGGTTACCACTTCTTTGCGTAATACAAAATGACTGAAAATTACAAACTTCGCAAGGCTATATTATCCGCATTTTACAACATTTTGCAATGAAACTTTGGAATATTACTAATTTTGTGATGCTCTTTCAAGCTGTGATCAAATTTTTGTTTAGGCTAGTTAAGATCAAAATTTTGGAAAAGTGGTAACCATTTCCCGTTTGTAATCTAAAATGACTGAAAATTTGTGATGCTCTTTCTAGCCTGTGTAGCAGCTCTTTCATGCTATGAAGCAATTTTGTCTAGACTTGTTGAGATCAATGGTCCATTCTACCCCAAATCGGGCTAATATAAATTACTATTCACAAGATATGTAAAATATTACACATTCGAAACTTCTATTTTCTGAGTAGAGAGTGTCGCCAGTCAATTTTCTTTATAATAAATATTACATCGTTGCTCTGTGACACGCGCTAATCGTTGCTCTGCTCTGCAAGGGCTGGTTATTTTCCAAGTTCCAGACAAATATATATACATTATCATTGTTATTGAAGCTTTTCTGTACTGTCGGCGATTTCGGAACCTGTATATGCGGTAATATATTTAGTAATACCAACCAGCGAATATGGACGGTGGGATTTGGTAGTAGCAACCAGCGAAGCTATAAACATCATGTGATCGAATTCAAAATATGAACATGGTAGGCTTCTAGCTACACATACATAGTATAACCATGCTGTATGGTAGGATTTGATAGGAGCAACCAGCGAAACTATACATTCTGTGAATTCAAAATAAGAACATGGTAGACTTCTATATCTACACATATTTAACCATGCTGTATGCAGTAGGATTTGATAAAAGCAACCAGCGAAACTATACATTCTGTGAATTCAAAATATGAACATGGTTTGCTACTGGGTTCCAATATACAATCCGTAACCATGCATTCTGTATGGTAGATTTGATAGCAGTCATACTGTATGGTAGCATCTGATAAGAGCAACCAGCGAAGATTTACATCCCGTGAATTCAACATAATAAGAATTCAACATGGTAAGATTTGATAGCAGCAACCAGCAAAGTTATACATCCTGTGAATCTAAAATATGAACATGGTAGGCTTCTAGCTATACTCATCTGCAGTCTGTAACCATACTGCATGGTAAGATTTGATAGTAGCAACCAGCGAAATTATTCATCCTGTGAATTTAAAATAGATACCCATCTATAACCATGCTATGGTAGACTCGATAGAAGCAACAGCGAAGTTATACATCCCATGAATTTAAAATTTGTACTAATCTGTAGTCTGTGACTGTGTTGTATCGTAATAGCTACCACCGAAGCACTAAATGCTGCCACTGTAAAATTTGAAAATCCTATGCTTGTAGTTAGCAAGCCATGGCTTATCACGATGTAGCCTGAGAATCAGGCGTTCTTAATTAGCATGTACTATGGTTAGAGCCAGGTCTGTTGTCTTCTTCGCTGTTGTAAGGTTGTTCGATTTCAACTGAGCCATCTTTCGAGACATTGTTTTTTCCCTCGTGGTTGTTCTTCTTGGAAGGAGTGATTTTCTTTGAAGGAGTCTGTCTCTTTCCATCGTGCTTGTCTAATAAATTTCGCTCGCTTTCTCTCGTTTTTTCCGACCTCGACATCGTCGGTTGCATCTCTGCGCCATCTTCTTCGGAGCATGAGGAGTCCTTCGTGCACCCTCGTGCACGGCCGTAAAATTCCGAACAGCGGAAACCACGGACACCACAGAAGTAACCAACAAAGAACACGAGCAGACTAATCAGAATGAGTAGCAAGAACAAAAGCCACAGTGGAACCCCAGAAGATGATGAGGTATGTGCAACTGCAAAAGAAAAACATTTAAGTTAACTAGCTACCTCCAGGCGCTATATAAACGGTTTACATAAAGTTACAGGGGATAGAGAGCGATGGGATGTACACACGCAAAAGTCTCACATCTTGTAGCAAGGGCTCCAAAAAGTCGGCAATATAAGTTGTGTTCGCACTGCTTGTCCCAAGTTGTCAACAAGTTTAGTACAAGCTGTTGACAATTTGTTACAACCTTGTTGATATTATCAAACTTGTTGCAAGGTCGTTCCAAAAAGTACGATACAGTCATGATACAACAATATTGTTACAACCTTGTCTCGTCAACCTTGTAACATTATTGTTATATCACGACTGTATCAGACTTGTTAGAACAACCTTGTAACAAGTCTGATAATGCCATCAAGCTTGTTACAAGTTGTTAACAGCTTGTTCCAAACTTGTTACAACAACTGGGAACAAGCAGTGCGAACACAACTTGTCGACAGCTTGTGAACAGATTTGTAACAACTTATTGGCAGACCTGCAACAACTTGTGCGTTTTTATGTGTGTACACGAACTCCATTGGGGAAACTATTGATAGATTTTGCCTGCCTTCTTTCCGTTAAGTTTGAGTTCTCCCCTTGTAAATGAGTTTTCTCTAGCTTAGATCATATGAGAGTGTTGGCAAAACAGCGCATGAATCGGGATGCGATTCCAACAATATGCAGTTGTCTGATTATAATATATGACTGTATAATAACCTCGGCATGTTTACATATTTAACCATGATATTTAACTAAAGCATTCAGAGTATTTACAAATCAATGGACCTATTCCTAATAAACAAACACCACAGCTTGAAAGAGCATCACAAAATTAGTAATATTCCGAAGTTTCGTTGCGAAATGTTGTAAAATGCGGATAATATAGCCCTGCGAAGTTTGCCGTTTTTCAGTCATTTTGTATTACGCACGGGAAATTGGTACCTTTTCTCAGAAAGCGGTATCAATTTCCCCCGCGTAATACAAAATGACTGAAAAACGGCAAACCTCGCAGGGTTATATTATCCGCATTTTACAACATTTCGCAACGAAACTTTGGAATATTGCTAATTTTGTGATGTTCTTTCAAGTTGTGGTGAAATTTTTGTCCAGACTTGTTGAGATCAAAATTTTGGTTATTAGGTAATAGGTCCATTAATAAATCGTTTCAAGAAATCGACACGCGTTAGCAGTAGAAATTCCTCTAATCGCTATTCGAGAAGCAGAAAACGTATGGTCAAGCAGATTTTTTTAGGGAGGTGCTGGACTTCTCTAGGGTGGGGGAGGGGGGGGCGGGGTGTGCTAGACACCACTAGGTGGGGTGCACGCCCCCCCCCCCACAGTAGATCTGTCCCTGGCAAGTGTTCCAAGTGTAGGTGAGTCGTGAATGCAGTGAGTATGTCTCCTCTTCCACAAACACATCCCTTTCTCATTCATGTGTTACCTGATTCTGTCCCCAAGGTTTCGACAACAGGTCTTGAGGAAAAAAATGGTTTGCGAGTACTCGGCAAACCAGTGCTTGGCAAACGAGTGCTTGTCAAACGAGTTGGCAAACTTGTTGGCAAACTGGTTTGTTTACCTGCTGGTGGACTGGAACCTTCCCTCGCGCTTGGGGATCTTGGGGTGGGCGTACTTTGCTGATCTGTAAATCACAAAAGAAAACTAAATAAAACTTTTGTGTCAAAAGAAAGAACACGGATACACTGAGCAAACGAACGGCTCGTATACCGAGCACACACACTTTGAAAAACATAAAACACATATTCAATTAATAATAAAATAATATGTTCTCTTTTCTTTCTGTGAAATTTTCTCACATAAAGCAGAAAATTTTTTGTCGTCTTATAATGGACCATTTGCATTATAGACTAAATTTTGATCTCAACAAGTCTAGATAAAAATTTCATCACAGCTTGAAAGAGCATCACAAAATTAGTAATATTCCAAAGTTTCGTTGCGAAATGTTGTAAAATGCGGATAATATAGCCTTGAGAAGTTTGCCGTTTTTCAGTCATTTTGCATTACGCGGGGGAAATTGACAGCCCAATACCCTTTGGTGCTGTCAATTTCCCGTTTGTAATACAAAATGACTGAAAAACGGCAAACTTCTCAAGGCTATATTATCCGCATTTTACAACATTTCGCAACGAAACTTTGGAATATTACTAATTTTGTGATGCTCTTTCAAGCTGTGATGAAATTTTTATCGAGACTTGTTGAGATCAAAATTTAGTCTATAATGCAAATGCTCCAATGAAATGCCATACAATTTGCTTGTTGATTTAAAATTCCAAATGTATTTTTGAAATCAAATTGTCATGTATGGAGGTTGATGATGGTAATCATGATAAGGTATGCAGAAAGTCTTACATTAGGAAATTTCTATTTTTGGATTTTGCAGCCAGGAAAAATTTTTTTCCTCGGCCTGTTTTATATATTAAACATGGGTTTTGTTGATGGCAATGGACCTTTAACCTTATAACTAAAATTTTGATCTAGACAAAAATTTCATCACAGCTTGAAAGAGTATCACAAAATTAGTAATATTCCAAAGTTTCGTTGCGAAATGTTGTAAAATGCGGATAATATAACCTTGCGAAATTTGCCGTTTTTCAGTCATTTTGTATTACGCACGGGAAATTGACAGCCCAATCGGGTGTTGGGGCATAAATTTCCCGTTTGTAATACAAAATTGCTGAAAATTGCAAATTTCGCAAAGGCTATATTATTCGCATTTTACAACATTTCGCAACGAAACTTTGGAATATTACTAATTTTGTGATGCTCTTTCAAGCTGTGGTGAAATTTTTGTCTAGACTTGCCTAGATCAAAATTTTAGTTATAAGGCTACAGGTCCATTTCGAGCGTGAATTTTTATACATTTAATAGATCTAACCGGGAGCAGTTGCGAAAAATGCAACTATGGCCCTCCGTGACAGGATTCGAACCTGCAATTCCAGTGCAGCGCTCGAATCAACTGAGCTGCAGAGGCCAGTTGTCGAGCTCTAACCACAAGTGCATGTATACTGTATATACTAACGCCTGTATTCTAAAAGCTCACTCACACTCACACTCAATGAGTGGAGGTTCAATCTGAGCTTCTCTTGAGTGTTAATGTTGTTTTTGAATAGCTGGAGGGCTTGTCTCATACCTTACTTGGTGACTACTCACCCTTCAGCTATTCAAAAACAGCATTGACACTCAAGAGAAGCTCAGATTGAACCTCCACTCATTGAGTGTGAGTGTGAGTGAGCTTTTAGAATACGGGCGTAAGGTGATATCAATGTGCGATGCATCGTTTAAAACATCGTCTACTTCATATATGTAAAATAATTTTCAAGACGTATAAAAAACAATGAAAAATATACGACACAAAACAATTTTGGTATAACCGACCTTTAGCTTTGGAGAAACGTTATTGAGAACAGTGATTGATTATAATACTATTGTTTGTGGAAACACCACGTAAATTTATCACTGCAAAGCTTTCGATCGGTAAGCCTGGATCTTCATGATTCATTAGTGATTGATTAGTTAAGGTGCACTAACAACTTTCGAAACGTGCGATTTATGACTTGTTAGTATTTAAGATTCAGATACATTAGTAAGGTTAAATATTTAGTTCTTTTATGGACGAACAGATCAGACAAAGTGTAATTGTAGATTAGTTTGGTGCAACAATATCATATCTTAATTTTTATGGCCCCCTGTTTGGATCACTTGGAATTATACTTCTGATAAGCTAATCAAGTATCTACCTGTACCCCATAGAATAGGCTATCTGTAAAAGTGTTTAGTTAACCCATTAAGCTGCCCTAATAGTGGGGAAGATTGGTGAAAATTATAGAACAAATGTGCATTTAAATATGCTGGAAGTGCGACCAGGATTGAAAATGATGATTTTTGAGACGTTCTCTGGTTGGAAATGTTTATTTTACATTAGTTTGTGGGGGGTGGCACCGAAGAGAAATGTTTTTGTTGGTAAAACGTTTGCCGATCCAACCATTAAAAAGTCAAAACATTTTTTACCCAACCTCAAATATCAATTAAAAAATAAATACCCACCCTTGGCCAAAAACGTACAAAAGAATACCATTCAGTTGTCACACATGTCCTTTACCACTTCTGTGACACGAGTTTGATAACTGCTTGTGCAATTTTCTGCAGTCTAAAGTTTCATGTTGTCTGCACATGTACTTTCTTTGGAGACAATATTTGCCTCATGACAAATCGGAAAATGATCAAGATAGTGACTCTGATTGATTCACATATTGTGTTGACATTTGACTGTTGACATTGCTTTTTAGTCTTCAATATTTGAGTGAGTCATGCTTTGGAAATGACAATAAATTTTTATTACCCAACCCTTGAGTTGTTTTGTTTTTCATTTACCCAACCTTTTACTCACTCAAAATACTGTACTGTTTACCCAACCCTTTTCGCTTCGGTGCCACTCCCCGCCATAAATATTGACCCTTCCCTAAACTACCTATGACAATACAAGTTTAACTTTTTACCTGGAGGCTTGGTTGTCGTGTCGGGTTCGGAAATAGTTAAGTCACCCAGCTTTCCCCGTTGTATAGCTTCTTCCAATTCACGAGTCAGATCACTTTCTGTGGATGTTGAAGTCTTCAAACCACTGATTTTAACCGTAGCGATAACACTGCCTTTCCTATAGCAAAATAAAAGTGGACATATGCTAATCCGACTGCTTTATAAACTATGCCGCAGTGGGCTTCATATATGTCTGGAGTGAAAACTCAACGTCAAAGATGGCGAAATGGACGTCCAGTGCCCAGTCCCCTTCTATTGCTTTTGTCTGCGCGGTTAACACAAAGCTGGCAAGGAGGCAAGGAGTTTGCCGAAATTTCGTATTTTGACGACGATTTAAATAATAAATATTAACACTATGGTTTTATGCACTGATAACTTTTAGTGATACGGCTCGTTAGAAAAAAAACTGGAATTAGCTCAGGCCTTAAAATATCGGTCGGTCAAGCACATTGTCCGACCCATTCGTGAAATTGTCCGACGTAGAGAGGAAATCGCTGGACATTCTGTCCGACCTCAGTGAAACTGAGGTTTATTGTTTGTCCGACCCGAGTGTATTGGTGTCCGACCTAACTGTAACTTTGTCCAACGTAAATCAAGATGTACCCTAGTCCAGGACCAGAAGCTCGTATGTTAAGTGGAAAATCAGAGTAATGTATAAAAAGTGAACTGGAAATGTGCAATCAAGGGCGGGGTTTTCACCGTGGTGTTCGGAAATTCATTGCCAAGATTCAAATGACTTTTCCAAATTGTGCTAATATTCATTTGTGTCTGTATTCATATTTATTTCCAAGCCAAACTGAACTAAAAGTCATCGGACATCCATCGGACATCACTATACGTATGTCCGACCCAAACTCAAAGTCGTCGAAGATTTTGTTAGACGGTTCTCTAACCGATATTTTGAGGCCTGAATTAGCTGGGAAAATGTTATGATAACTGTTGACGACCTTCATAGAATATTGCACGTCAATTTCCGCCATCTTTGGCGTAACTTTTCTCATTGGCAAAATGACTAAACTTCTTACTTCAAAAAGAGCGTCTTAGAATGAGTAAAACTTGCAAAGATTGGTTGCAAAATGTTGTAAAATGAAGAAAATATAGCCCTGTGAAGTTCGCAAATTTTGTATATATTTGTATTATGCGCGGTAAAAATAACCATTTTCGACTAAAAAATGATTATTTTTCCTGCGCGTAAGGCAAAAAAAAATATGTGGGTTTCCGGTTTCTTCTTATAAAAACTTAGGTAGGGTAGGTCGGTTTTAACTTTTTTTTTTAAACTTTTTTTTTTTAATTTTCCGAATAAGGCGACGCCATTTTGTTTAGTCAGTGCTTCCACATCCAAAGATAAATTTCCCTAATATTGCCTCAAATTTCAATTTTCCACAAACGTTTTCCTCTAAGTGGAAACACTTACAACCATGATCCAATAAAAAAGTTTAGGGTCGGGATTTCGACGTCCAAAAGCTAGGTAGGGTCGGGAAACCGGAAACCCACATATTTATTTTTTTTGGCCTAGTGTAAACCACGTTTTAGAAAACGAACAGTGTAGACTGTGGCTTAAGGTTCCACGGGCGTCGGTCGAACAGTGGTCACCGTCACTTAGGATGTGTCTTAAACCTGTCTGATCGAGGGATCATTCCTACACTATGCAAGTTATCTGGTTGAAATTTCATAACAATCACACGTGAGAAGAGTGCTTCCAGTTCATTGGCCCTTACTGGATTTGTAAGAGGAAAAGTTTAGAACTGAGCTGTAGCATTTTGTTCAGGTCAGGTTTAAGCGGTTGACGAAAAGTATTGAATTCAAACCTATATCTCACCTCTCCCACAAGCATTTCAAATATTAAGACTCCCAAGCCCCACCAGTCCACTGAGCGAGTGTATGATGTCTCTGTAAGGACCTAACAAAAGAACATCAACTCATTTATCACAAATCCTTTCTGGTAGATTTTTGATATTCACGAGGAGAGATCACGATCTACACACGCAAAAACGCACAAGTTGTTACAAATCTGTTCACAAGCTGTCGAGCATTGCAAGTTGTAACAATGGTGTTATTTTATCAAGTTGCTACAAGGTTGTCACTCACAACTTGTTGACAAATTGTTGAGTTGCAGGACGATAACAAGTTGTTGGAACAACTTGCAACAAGACTGTTGAGCTCAACAACCTTATAGCAAGTCGTCAACAAGCCGTTGAAAACTTGTCAATAAGCTGGGAACAAGCAGTGCGAACACATCCTGTTGACAATTTGTTGGAACAGCATTGCTACAAGTCTGCTGCAGATTTGTTACAACTTGTGCGTTTTTAGGTGCGTATAATACATCACTTACCTCAGGTGCTAAGAACTCCGGTGTGCCACAAAAAGTGCCCGTTCTCGCACCGTAACCCATACCCTCCTTACATAAACCAAAATCTGCTATCTTCACGTAACCTTCAGCATCCAGTAATAAATTGTCCAACTTTAGATCCCTGTCAAGTGAAACATACAAAATGATGCCACTGTGTCATCAATACTCTACCAATATATCTCAACAAAAACACCAACCTGTAAACAATTTCGTGATCATGTAGATACTGCAATCCAAGAACAACACAGGAAGTATAAAACCTGTAGAAAGTTGGGAAAATATCAATGAAGTATAGATGGCACATTGAACGAAAGGATCTGATCGACCAATTAAGTCAAAAGATGAGAATGACAAAAATATTCGAATAAAAATTTAATATCTTACACAGCTCTTGGTTCTGAGAAAACTTCATTATGTATATGCATCATGAGGTCACCTCCTGAAGCGTACTCCATCACAAAACAAACATGGCTCTATAGAAAAGGTTGAACTCACAGTGAGTACAAAATTAACACAATATTACACACGTAAAAATCTCACAACTTCTCAACAAGATGTATTCGCAACAGACTTGTAGCAAGCTTGTCAACAAGATGTGTTCGCAACAGGCTTGTAGCAAGCTCGTCAACAAGATGTGTTCGCAACAGGCTTGTAGCAAGCTTGTCAACAAGATGTGTTCGCAACAGGCTTGTAGCAAGCTTGTCAACAAGATGTGTTCGCAACAGACTTGTAGCAAGCTTGTCAACAAGATGTGTTCGCAACAGGCTTGTAGCAAGCTCGTCAACAAGATGTGTTCGCAACAGGCTTGTAGCAAGCTTGTCAACAAGATGTGTTCGCAACAGGCTTGTAGCAAGCTCGTCAACAAGATGTGTTCGCAACAGGCTTGTAGCAAGCTTGTCAACAAGATGTGTTCGCAACAGGCTTGTAGCAAGCTTGTCAACAAGATGTGTTCGCAACAGGCTTGTAGCAAGCTTGTCAACAAGATGTGTTCGCAACAGGCTTGTAGCAAGCTTGTCAACAAGATGTGTTCGCAACAGGCCTGTAGCAAGCTTGTCAACAAGTTGTGTTCCCAACAGGCTTGTAGCAAGCTTGTCAACAAGTTATAACAATGCTGTTATTTTATCACTGGAAAAAATTTTGAAAATCCATAGAAGGTCATAGAGTGGAAATTGTATGGACCTTTATTGGAAATAGAATGGATTTTGGTTATCCATAATAATTGTATATTTCCATAGTATGGATATAGTATGGAAATAGGATGGATATACTATGGATTTAGTGGTGCAACTGCAAATTTCGTAGTATGGATTTCACTTTTTTTTCCAGTGTATCAAGTTGCTACAAGCCTGTCACTCACAACTTGTTGACAAATTGTTGAGTTGCAGGACGATAGCAAGTTGTTGGAACAACTTGTAACAAGTCTGTTGAGCTCAACAACCTTGCAGCAAGTTGTCAACAAGCCGTTGACAATTTGTCAACAAGCTGGGAACAAGCAGTGCGAACACATCCTGTTGACAAGTTGTTGGAACAGCATTGCTACAAGTCTGCTGCAGATTTGTTACAACTTGTGCGTTATATATAACTTGTGTGTATAGCCGTTCCATTCTTCCCATGCGTGTGGAGTTCCGCGCGTAATTCCCTTCGCGGCAGCGTCGCAAATCGAAGCGCCGAGTATGTGCCTGAAGAATCCAACGCTAGGGTGGACCCATCTTTTGAGATTTATGGTACTGGATAAGTTTATCTCGTCATTTTTTCAGATGGATTCAAGCACACGTATCTGGCAAACTTTCAAAAGATCTTCAACAATTAATCAAGGATAATGATGGCAAGGACATCACGATCGCTCACAGTGATTATAATTGGAATCTCAATCATATTGCACCAGCTAAAATACGTTAATTTCATATTATCGCTGAGAAATTGTAAAGGGTTTATATTGTAAGACTTTATGAAATAGACCAAGTGTAATTAACGCAGATTAGACTGTTGTATACGGGAGGGTAATTTTCATGTCAATGTAATAGTCAGAGCATATATTACAAATTTATACTTATAGTATCCGCCAGTCGCTATATGTTCCTTATATCCAGTGGCAGTGCGCCAATGACAGGCGCGCACCCCCGAACTGGCAGCAAGCCGTCCTCATCTCTATGCTAAATAATAAACTGTTCCCATATCGAATGATGGTATTCCCGAATCGTATATTAATTTCTGTCAATCTTGATGAGTTTTCTCCGCAACATTTGTCGACTGTTCTGCCGTCGTTTTTGTCGCGGCCTTTTTTCCGGTGACTTTCTCTTGAAATTGAGCCGGTTTTGTAACCAGCGGAGTTCGGCACATTATCCGTGGACTCGGAAATCGTCGGGCAAACTTCGTGTACTCCTGCCATCGCGACGGCAGCTGTGTTGCCGATGCAAGTGATGGCTTTTTGTTGCGAGGCGTCGAGTTGGGTGTTCGTGTGACGATCTCTAGTTCTCTCATTTTACTTTTTTGTAAGACCTTGGAAATGCAAAGAGAGAACAATCAGAGGGCTGGAAAGGGCGAGGAAAGGAAGATGAAATTCAAGGACTTTTCCGTCGGTTGCTGGTTTTATATTAGGCGACTTTTCCGTCTCCAATGTGACTTCGGCTAATCAGTAGTGACCTCTTCTTAAAGTGTGACTATAAATCCCAAGTATGATTTTTTGAATGTGTAATATTTGGGTCATTCAAAGAATAAATGTAATATATCTTTATAATAAAAAATCCCATCTTGATTAACTTTTTCACTGTCAAAGTTTCCGGATATGATGTCATTAAGTGAATTGCAAATAAGTTTTCCTTTGTTTTTTTTTACCATAATTTCAACCAATGACATCATATATATAGTACATTTTTTCTTAGGTACCGGTCATAAAGTAGTTGCTAGGGTGGGCTGGAGTGATTTGGGATGGGCCATTGAAAATCTTTGGGCAGTTTCGATGGGCCGCCAATTTTTTTGTATGTCCACGGTTGGGCCACCAAACAAAAACCCATGTTAATTATATATTACATAAAGATATTAATAATAAAAGTAAACAAAACTATCCAAATTATCAAATGCAAATGATGTTATTGAAGCTAGTACTTTGTTTTATACAACAACAAGAATTGGTTGAATCACAGCAAATACAACCAAATGGAAAACACAGCTCATTATCGTAACTGGTGATGAATGTGCTGGTCAAGCTTGGTGGAATTATATATGTCAATACAGTGCCGGTGTATATTTACAGTGTTCATACATATATTTACAGTGTTCATTCAAAGTGTATTTTCCCAATTTAGATTGGGTGGGTGGGTGAAAATTCCGCTCCGCGCGCAAAATTGCGCCTAGTGGAAAACCACGGCCTTAGGGCCTGTTCATATGGGCAAAAGTTATCCCGGTTAACGAGAAAACTTTTCGACTAGCCAAATACTTTTGTTCTGTTCATATGGAGAAACTTTATCCCGCTTACCGGGTAAAGTTTTCGGCTGTGACGTGGCACTGGACATCAATTGAATTGAAAAGTTGCTGACACGACAGAAAGTTATCCCGCTAAGCGGGAAAGTTGTGTTCATATGGGAAAAACATCCCGGTCACCGAGATCTCGCCTGTCAACAAGCGAGATCTCGGTACACGGGAGAACTTTTTGTCTCATATGAACGCAGTGTAACTTTTCATATTATTTTCATATCAAGGCGAGATCTCGCTTGTAAACTTGTCGAAAAGTTTTCTCGCTAACCGGGATAACTTTTGCCCATATGAACAGGCCCTTGGAGGTAGTTTTTACTGCGCATATGTGGGGGCCGGTTGTATAAAAAAGTGATTAAAGAAAGTTAACTATAGTTAAGTGGAAACGTCATCCAATAAGAAGCGCGTATTTGAGAGTTAATCACTATTTAACTACAAAATAGTGATTAAAAAAGTGACTAGGAGTTTTATACAACTGGCCCCTGTTCTTAGCAAATGCCCTAACGAGAGGCATTCACTCCCCTGCAACATAACTTTCAATATGTTTTCAGGGAGGTGACGGCCTCTCTTTAAGGGAAAAGGTTATTTCGCTGACCTCGGAATGACATTTCGTCAAAACGTTTTTCTTCAAGATTGGTTTAGAAACAAACTTGGAGTAGGGTTAGGTTAGGTTAGAGTTGGTGTTTGGAAAAGGATTAGTGTTGGAATAGGATACGTTTTGTCACTCTGAGGCCAGCGAAATAGCCTCTTCCCTCTTTAAGACACTTGTTATGAACACGGCGGTATTTATTTACTTATTTTGCGACTGTACGTTAGAAAACTGACCTTGAAAGAACAAGTCTCAAAGCTTGGGAAATGAACGTTATAGTAAGTCTCATCACGCCCCTGTTCACATGAAGCATGCTTCCTCGAATCCCTGCTGACCAGCTCGGGATTGGTCGCGGGCACTTCTCTGGCGTCTTTGTCTTTTCTCCTTGACCGCAATACGTTGTGGGTAACCCACTGCTGTCGCGTCGACATCGCCCTAGCGTTTCCATGGCGACGGTTTTGCACACGATAATGAACTTGTAGTCTGGGAAGAGTTACCGTCTCCGTATACTCGCTTATGTACTTCGAGAAGTCCTTAAAATGATGAAATTTGTAGTTTTCCTCCAATGAATTCTTAGAAATTCGTGAATTATGGAAAGTAAAACTCGTTGCTTTCCTGGAATTTTCGTTCAACTTCGAATCGCTGTACGGTCTTACAGAGCCGTCGGACTTGCCTTTTTTCTTAGGACGAACGCTTGCCTCTAACGTGGAGACCGAACGTCTTTGAATCTGATTCTCAGATTTTGGGTTCTCCGAAATGGCAAGTTTCTCGGAAATCACAGCGCATGTCTTGTGCGGGAGACGCAAAGTAGTACATGCACGCCAAGGCAACATTTCTAGAAACTCGAAGATGGGTGGTTTCGTTTCGTGAAGTTTAAGCTGGCTGTAAACTTTAGAAAAGCCATTTTCAGGTGACCTACTTTTGCCTTGCTCTTTGATGCCATATAATATATTGGTATAGCCAAGTCGACCGTAACGATCGTAGCATTTGTCTTCGTGTAATAGCTCCTCCGAAGCGTTCCGAGAATAAATGTCCTTACAAGAACAAGGCAGGCTGGTCATGCCGGGGTTGGCCCGAAAAAACATCGTTGTTCTCAGGAAATCTTTAAACCATGGAACGAAAGTTTGGAATCAATTTGGCGCCGGCAATTAGTGATAATGAACGTTCTAATTTGTGTTCGATTTTTTAATTATTGCGTCATTAAGGCACTTCGTCAGCTACTAATATACCTATAGATTTGTGACTATATGTGGAACACAAATTATGATTGAACAATTGAATTCTCTGATATGCATATTCAAATTATTCCAGTCTCAGCTACATAATTACAGTTCCACTGCAATTTATCCCGAACCAAAAAAACGCGACTTGGCTTACTGACGCGAGCCCATGGTACACATATTGAGCACGCAGTTGCCAAGGCGACGACGCGCTCGCGCTTTATGCTAATTGTTTACTCAAACAATTAAAACGAGAAAGCGCAGAATTAGTCTTGATATGTACGATATGGAAAATACCATGGAAGAAGATATATTAAAACATATTCGTTCTGAAAGCGTGCCTTTGCCCGCTTACAAGTAAGAATAATAAAATATATCATACGTATTTAGTACTCATCTGAAAATAGATGGCCCGAAAATATGGTGGTTCCCGGCTCGTACGCTTATGTGCACTTGTTGAAAAGCTACAACTGGCTTGGACATAACTGGTTGGAACTATTTTCCCCCTATAGAAAATTCGCATATTTTTATGATAAACTCCTTGTTGAATCATGTTGCCCTTCTTAAGCCCCCGCTCCCCCAACTCAATGTTGAACTTGTGCCATGGTATATTACCAAAAGTTGTTTCGGCGCTGTTTACCACATTGAACTGGGAGGGGGAGAAAAAATTTGTTTTGTCAATGTTCAATAACTTTGTCATATTGGCTGGAATGGTCTCAAGGGTTTTGTCCAAGATTGTTCTATACAGACCAGAGGTGTAACTTAACACTTACACGCAGCAAGTGAACATCATGACGGGCAAGTAAACGTTTTATCTTGCTTGCCCGATTGGGCAAGTTGCCTTGCCACAAAAAGCTTGGGCATCTTTAAGTTTATGTTTTCATTGTCGGATAAATTTTTTATAGTGCATGTACTTTATTCAAATTTTGTTTTTTTGTGGGCCAAAGCTAGATCTGAGGCAGTATAACAGCCATATAGAGCAGTGGGAGAACGGGTCGACATGTTGTCCCCTTAATTTATACCCCCTACCTAGGTACCCAGTGGCCATTGTCTGATGGCAAGTGAACTCAGGACAACTAATTTTCATGTCCAACTTGCCCCGAGGGCAAGTAGTCAAAAAAGTAAAGTTACACCACTGCAGACGAGCAAATCAAATTTGTCATATGAAAAACTTGTCATAGAAAACCTGCTCTTCGGCTTAAATGCAAGCTAGGCTAGTGATTTTTTCATCGTTTTCATTTAGACCTCAGCTACTAAAGTACCACGACTATTCCATCGGTCGTTCTTCCCCACTTTGGACAGTGAGCGACGCAGCGAAAAATGCTCAAAGCAAATCACGACTGGAGGAGCTGTCTTCTCCACGACCTATGCACCCGGAGTATCAACCCCCAAAGCCCGCGATCCCTGTTATTACAAAGGCTGCGAAGGAAGCCTTGCCCACAGATCGAATAGAAGAACTCTCCAGAGCTTCGAATCGAATCATCAATATGGAAAACGAATGGAGAGTGAAGGGATCGGCTTTGAATTATAGACCGAGTGAAAGAATTTTAGAGTTATCTCGACCGCGGTCTTTTGCAAATGGCTACATGCCTTGTAAGACTCCGGACGAAACGTGGCGGGTTTCGCCAAATGCTCGGAAAGCATCGACTTCTGAACGGGTAGACGAGTTAAGTAAGCCTCATATAAGAACTGTGGCTACCAATCTTCCTCGGACGGACGCGTTTACTGTCCGCGAGACGGCGAAGAAGGCTAAGGCGAGCAACCGTATTCTTGAACTATCTCTGCCTGTTATAAGAGGCCACTGAAGTCTGTACTGTAAGCTTGAGTTTATAATAAAATGTTTGCTTCGATAAATTTTTGTCTTGAAATTTTAAATGTTGAAATCGCACAAAGCATATACAGTTGGGACTTGGGTGTAAAACGTACTACATTTATACCATGGGTGACAGATGTTGGGATCTGTGGAAACTGTGTTACTGCAAGTGACTGCAAAATTGGGTTAGAAGATCTTGTGCACTCTAGTATAGTAGAAAATTTGAATTTTTCCCAGTATCTTTTTGTAATATTTACCGATCGGATTTAATAGGTGTCTCTTTTCTATAACATTCTCTTTTCTATTTTCAAACTGTGTGTGGTTTGAATATGTTTATCTCAACAGTCAGTCCTGTACAACGTCAGACCACTTTAATTTAGCCCACTATTCAAGAACATCTCTGCATGATCCAGCCATGCTTGTCTGAACAGTGAGTTCTGTACAACATCAGATCACTTTATGGTAGCCCACGTTTAAGAACATGTGCTACCTCTGTATGACCTAACCACGCTTAACTCAGCGGTGAGTTCTGTACAACAACAGATCACGTTAAGGTAGCCCACATTCAAGAACATGTACCACCTCTGCATGATCTAGCCATGTTTAACTCAGCAGTGAGTTCTGTGGAACATCAGATTACTTTAAGGTAGCCCACATTCAAGAACATGTATTACCTCTGTATGATCTAATCATGCTCAACTCAGCAGTGAGTTCTGTGCAACATCAGATCAAATTAAGGTAGCCCACATTCAAGAACATGTACCACCTCTGTGTGATCTAACCATGCTTAACTCATCAGTGAGTTCTGTAAACCATTAGATCACTTTCAGGTAGCTCACATTCAAGAACATGTACCACCTCTGTGTGATCTAACCATGCTTAACTCAGCAGTGAGTTCTGTACAACATCAGATCACTTTAAAGTAGCTCACATTCAAGAACTTGTACTACCTCTGTATGATCTAATCATGCTTAACTCAGCAGTGAGTTCTGTAAAACATTAGATCACTTTCAGGTAGCTCACATTCAAGAACATGTACCACCTCTGTATGATCTAACCATATCACATTCAAGAACATGTACTACCTCTGTATGATCTAACCATGTCTAACTCAGCACCAAAATCAGATCACTTTAAAACAGCGTACTGTACATGTTACTTAAACATTTCACCAGCTTACTACAATTCATCTCTTAGCAAACCTCTGTTGGTTTTTCGCCGCGGCCTTCTTCTTAACCAACTGTAATCGCTTCATGGAATTCCTGGCAACATCACGTGGGTTGACGTTGCTAGGAGACTTCAATACAGAGCTGTTATTACCGCTGGCCGCACTGTTCGTCGTAAGATTGGGGATTATAAATGACTGGTTCATTGATGGACTGCTTGGGGAGAATAAGGGTGGCTGAAAATGAAAAATCAGAAAATCAGCAGGATGTGTTAATTCAAGATTTTTAATCCTACCCGACAATAGTATTCCGATGATAATTTCCTCTTACATATAGACAATTCCCATATAGACTAATTTTAAAACTAGGCAAGGAGATGCAAATAAATCACTACCCGACAATAGTATTCCGATGATAATTTCCTCG